CCTTCTGTTAGCACGAGTTCTTCTCTTCTGTGTGGGCGTCATGCATTTACCTCCTATGCTGGAGCTGGGCTAAAAGTGTGACTTTCTCGTAAGGCTTATCCTGCAAGCAGAATGTGACCCAAAGGTCCCGAACCTTATTCGGTGCTGACGCGTGACAGGGAGGGAGGTACGTGCTGTTTGGAGTTGTCATTTGTTCGCTCAAACGCCTGGTAGAGAGCAGCCATTCCTAACCAGCCCGGACACGCCCAGCATCCGTTAGCGACTATAAATTCATTATCGTTCGTTTGCTTACACTTCAGTACTGACGCACCCCTGCCCTAGCGATCCCTCCTCTTCCAACGGCCAGATACGACCCCCTATGGAATTCTTCCAGGATGCCGCACCCTGATGGTGAGTCCACATCATCAGTGAAAATGTACACTTGAATTTACCCATACTTAGCACGTTTTGAGCAAACCTTTATCTTCATACATTATGAACAACGTACGTATATACAGAACAGATTAAGTGAATTTGTAATAAAAATCTTTGAATATCTCCATGTATATGCGGCCGTTGAGTGCAGTCAATGACCTGTCAAATACAGTTAATTTTATCGTGAAATTATAAGTGATCGAGCTCAACAAAGCAGCAGCGAAGCGATGCTCCAGGCCATATAGTTCCCAGCTCGTAGTCGAACGGGAGCCTGCTAGACGGCGCTTTCAATTTGGTATTTGCTCTCGAGTCGATTACGAATGTTCGTGCAAATCATGTTCAGTGGATTGGCAGGTGAATTCTCCATCTCCAGCACGTGGGTTAGGATAGCGAACGCTGAAATTTGAGACTGATAATTCGACTGAGAGGCTCCTATTTTTATCACATCAATGGAAATGATAATTTGTGAGCCACTATAAGGGGCTATAGCGTTAGGCAGCGTTCAGACTTCGCGACGGCAGCGCTTGGATCGCGCGTTCGACGCGATCGATGCAGAAGAAAGCGCCCAACGCGCGACCGAAGCGCTGCCGTCGCGAAGTCTGAACGCTGATTTAGTCAAGATTCACTGTTAGAAGGATCAATGGCTGAAGTGTTGTTATGGTAAGGTTTCAGTAATCAGGGAAAGGGCATGGAAGCGATATAATAGCAATCCACTGAGCAATGAGAGCGGAAAATACGCAAAATTCATTAGAGTTGTCCGGGAAAGTCTGGAGCCGTCTTGAGTGTTCCACTATGAACGTCATAGATTTTTCTTAATACTCATCAAAATTTAATCGAAATAGCACTCCGTTCGTATCAGCACACTTTTGCCAATGTGATACGAGTTGAGAAATCCCATCAAAGGAAAAAAACTGGGTGGTCGAGAATCTAAGAAATCCACGAGGGCTTTTTGCCTGGTCCTAATTGATGAAGTATTTTCCAGCAAGAATTCTGAAAATGTTCGAAAAGGTGATAGTCGTTGGTAAAAGCCGTCTGAGAATATGGAGAATATGGCGGTTGATGGTAGAGACTTCAACCCCAATCCGGTTCAATTATGCCGATAGTGAATTTCTTGAAAACTGTGGGCGAGCGGTTGTCATGCAAAGGAATCGGACCCTTTCTTTTGATAAGTGTTGGCTGCATCTGACAAAATTTTCGGTACAATTCGTCGATTTCTTCACAGTAGGGTTCTGCTGTGATGGTTTGGCCTGGTGATAAAAAGTTATAGTGGATCACACCAGCCGATGACTACCACACTGTGACCATAACCTTTTTGTCGTGAGGATTCGGCTTTGGAAATTGCCTCAGGGGTCCGCCGGCATCCAACCACTGTCCGAAACGTCTCCTGTTATCATACATGATCTCCTTTTCATCACACGTGACAATTCGGTCCGAAAACGGGTCGTTGCAAAAGCAGTGAAGAAGAAACCTCGAGACGTGCCAATTTCTGCCGGTCACTCAAATTGTGGGGCACCCACTTGTCGAGTTTTTTCACCTTCCCAATGCTTTTCAGACCATCCGCAACAGTGGATTTGCCAACGCCTAGCTTTTCTGCAATCTCTCGTCTTTCGGCACAACCTTAATATAAGCAATAGCAATAGCTACGCTCGGCGGCAAGAAGAGCTAAACGCAAGCGTAAACTTCCCACTATAAGTCAACCAGGCGGTGTCTTGTTACATTGGGGCATCCTAAGACGTGTAAAGTACTTGTGTGGTCGGAGGCGAGAGAGACACATACTTTCGGCCAACAAAAAAATTTCTGACTGCTTTTTTTGCCTATCCGGAGCACTATATTCCTCACTCGGCCCACCCTCCCCTGCGTTAAACCTAGGGTAAACTATCATTTCTAGTAATTGATCATAATGTGTTGCAATTTCCCCCCCCCCCGCTCCATGCCCGCGAATTATTTGCTAAAGTTTCGTGGAGACGATCGGTCATATGTTGAAAAAAGGATCGCTGGCGGGGAATATAGGCGAGGGTCATCATCCAGCTGCGTCGTGATCCAACAACCAACGCCAGGACGTACCCTCAACTCAGCTCCAACTATGAAGTCGCAACCGCTCGCGCCCGCCTCGTTTCAGTAATATGAAGGTGCCCTTTCGTGACCCTAAGGCTAGCTAAGAGGAGGGCATAACTTACGAGGTCCAATTGCACCCACGCGCCCAGAAATGTGCGCCCTACGCTAGGTTGCCTAGACACACTTGCCAGCACTTTGGCAGTTTCCCGGCAGCGAATGCGCGCACGGCGACCTCTACTTGCGGCGCAGCTATTCGTCGTCATCATGAATTCTCCCAGTGGAACCAGACACTCCTTTTGTTTGCCATATGAATGAAACGAAGTAAGGCGCTGGAATGTTCTCTTCCACTCCTGTTTTTTAGGAAAAGCCTCAAGAAATGCTCACGCTTTGATTAAACATAGCAGGCTTTCAATCAACACCTGCTCAGCTTGCCAAGGTTCCGATGCAACACGCCCTGCCTTAAATGAGTCATTCCAGCCAAGAACATTGCTAAAATGAAACCTATATTGGGCATACCTTGTAGCGAATCCTCCTACAGTAATCCGAGTGTAAGCTGTCGGTTACTGTAAGCATTTCAAGCAATACTGGCACGGCTCCTTGTGAAACAAGCGCCTCTTCATAGCGGCGAGCGGCAAGTCGTGAGAGTACAGTCACAATCTGAGACAACAATTTCAAGAGAGTAGGATTGAGATTGCAGAACGAGGCTACCTGCTCCTGCACGAATATCGTCGAGCATTCTTGTCGGTTGTAGGCATTGATCAGTCGAATTATCGCATTCCGCCTTGAAAGCATGGGTTTATTGCTAGAAACTAGTCCGATAGGGACTTACCTGTACAAAACATCGATGGCTGCTGGGTCCTGCAGCGACACATTTGCCAGCGCGGCTGACACCAAGAGAAGAGTTTCTCCAGTCGTGCATTCGTCGATAAGGTCTGCAATGAGAGAGCATTCGAGATGGCTCTCCTTACAATTAGAGGAGAGGTAGGGAGGCAGGGATAAGAACGCAAAGGAACTTACCGAGCAATCTGACAAGAATCGGTTCGATGTTCTGAAGTTGAACGTAGGCATGTTGCGGATTTGTGAGTTGGGTGAGGACACCAGCAGCCTCAATCGACGAACCGACATGGCTACCAGTAAGGTGGCCGAGCACCACGTCTAGGCCTCCCAGCTGAAAAGAAGAATTCATTCAGGTAGGACTACTCTAATTAGGACTATATTAGTGCTATTAGGACTATATTAGGACTATTCCTGATTTTCAGTCCACTGGTTGAAATATGAAGGTGCTCGCTTTCACATATCAAGGAGGAAAAGAAGAATAGACGGCGCTGTTGTCGCCAGGGGGGGGCATTTTGCACTACCATTGCTTCCCTAGTTCCGGTTTACAAATCTCACCCTGGTAAAACTTGTGAACCCTTGTGAAGCTGGTGCAAGATAGTCTAGCCACCATCCTAAAACGTGTCAACTCGAGAAAAGGCTACCTAGATGGGTCGGCACATCTATGGAAGCAGGAATGCCCCCCCCCCGTCGACAAATGCGCCGCCCAATAGACATTGTTTCAAAAAAACTTACAAACGACAAACAGTTTCGTTTGTGTCTTTTGGCCGTCAGACAAAACCACTGGGATCATCGGTGAGGCGCTATTGGGCGATTGTAGTGACACGCAGAATCAAAGCGCTTCAGTCAATTTTAGTCACAGTGACAGTACACTCTCTTCGAAAGGGTCCCTGAATAAAATTCAGAAGGTTCTGGAGGCCTTTCCTCATTGATCATGCAAACATTTGATCCGATAGGTAGGGGATAGTGATCAATCAAACTTAACGGCCAGCTGAGCTCATTTGTCAAAATTGCTTTTAGTCGTAGAAAGCCCTTCTTCGAACTTCTTGCATAGAAACAGCTTGCTGGGCAATTTAGTAAAAGTTTGGGGGCTCTTATAGTTAGAACAGGAAACCATTAGTAAGGAAAGATGATTTTTATAATATGTGCAAAAGAATTTCCAGGGTTGTGGGAGGTAGGAGGTAGAATCCACGTTGGCCGTTTATACGTAACTCTGTTGGTGTTACTTCATTCGCTGCTCCGTCATTGGAGCCCTGATTATGGTGTCCCATACAGGGTACAGCATCGTTGTGTGAAACACAGGTGAGGGGTCGTACATGGCCCCTTGGGGGGGGTCGTACGTGGCCCCTTGGGGTGGTCGTATTCGGTCGCTGTTGGGAGAGGGGATCGTATGTGCTTTAGAGAGAAATTTGCCGCGTTGGGAAGAAATTTTCCCCGGTTGTTGAGCGGGTTTTTCCCGTTCCACATTGGCTATTTTCAGCCCATATCTAACCTTCCCAGGGACACAGCAATTGGTTGGGGAATCCCCATAGGGCGGGTCGTATTTGGCGGCCGCCAGGAGAGGGGGGGGGGGTCGTAATGAGTGCGGTAGCCAGTATCGAGCAGCGCAAAGGTGTCAGTGTGCTGAATCCTGTGTAGCGGAACTTGCTTCGTAGAGAACTCGGATATGTAAAAAATGAGTACAAAACTTTCATCCATCAAACTAATCCGAAATAATTGGAATTATTAATAAGTCGACAACATCTCGTAAGTGATTAAACACTACAACTCATACTCTGGTTTGCTGCGGATGATGGGGCGTGTCCGCGATCACGCTTGGCGCTGAGCCAACCTGTTTTTTTTCTGACAAACGACAGGACTACCATATCGTTCGTACCAGACGTTTTCCAGCACTTGGTCTCCTTTATCGGAATCAGCAACTATCGGAGCACAGATCTGGCGGCGTCGACACGGACACGCTACATCATCCGCAAGGGAAAACACTGTAGACAAGTGCACAGGTTCGCCATGGACCTCCCTGAATCCTACAGACACATTTGCGCGCGTGGACACACATTATGCACAAGTTGCACCATCCCATCACTTCTGCGCGGACCTCAGTGCGCGGCGCATACAAAGTCAGCGTGATCGGCGCTAAACGAACCATATCCTGCTCCTGCTCCACCACAGGATACGTTCTACATGCGTTCCTGGCTATTCGAACACGCTCACTTGAAACGGTGCACAGGAAACGGGTTTTTCGCGCGGCTGGGAGTGCTCCCTAAGAAATCCCCATCGCGAGATCTCATGAATCCCGAGAGCTTCAGGAACAGTTCAATAGGTTTTTAGAAAGAGAAAATCTTGAGAAGCTCGGGATCCGTTCTCAGATTTGTGAAATGTTGAGTTACAAAAAAAATATATTGATTCAAACCTGTTCAACTTGAACTTCAACCCTTCACTCCCCAACGAATCCCTATGGCAGATTTCTCTGTGATTTTCGCGACCTTCATAAACATTTTAGTACTTTCAGGAAGACCAAACCTTTCTAATTTACCAATACGCTCTCCTCTTCCCCACAGGTCCGCTTTTGAGGAAGTTATGGTCCTTCAAAGACACCCTACTTTGCTGAAAATTCTCGCTCCATGGCTAATAGCCGTTTGCTCCAGTCACGGCTGCAATTACGTACGCATCTCTGCTACCGTACTCCACATCTCGGGGTTAATGCATTTTAGGCGTATTTCTTTTTTGTTTTCTTTTTCTGTTATACCGCTTTTGTTTTTTGGTTTTAATCATAGTCTCATTTAACTCGCATTTATGCTGTGTGTATGCTACTCATCGTGTTGTCGATTTGTCCTGTTTTGATTACAAACGCTTGCACATAAGTAAATCAACTCAACTTAGGTAGGACTGTTTATATCTATTTTTTATATCTAATTGTTTATATCTAATTTCAGGAAGTATGTAACGTCAAACAGTAAAAAGGGGGGGGTCGTACCGAACCCCCAAAAAGGGGGGGGGGTCGTACAGGCTCGACCAAAATCCCCATCGAATGCTGTGCCCTGTCCTCCGCCTTTACTGATGCTCCAGTTTGACTTTCTCTTCAATTCGCTTACAGGTTCCCAAAACATTAGAAGCTGGACAGGAGATCCGTGCTGCGGCGATGCGGTGCTACAAGCGGCCTCGTGTGCGCTGCAGTCTCGGGAGGACCTCACTGATCTTAACATGAAGACACTACAGTAGGCCTAGTCAGCTAGTTAGGAAATATCAGCTGATTTCTGTGCGTATTTGTCGCCCTCCTGGCCCGCGTCCTAAGAGGAAATTATTGAAAATGAAAGATAGTTGACTCAGCTGAAAAAGTGAAAAAGGAGAGAGCTTGAGGGGAAGGAAGCACAAGAAAGGGAGGTATTCGGTGTCTATTTCGGCGCGCTAGACGGGAAGCTGACCAAAAAGCATGTCAGCTCAGCATCAGAGCCCATATCCAGGAAAAAGAAGGGGCGGGTTCCAAGAATTTCTGTGCGACCTTATTGGCTTTAGGCGACTGCCGATTCGATCAGTGACATAGGCAGCGCGTCATAACAACGCGAGCGATGCAAAAGAGTGACGATAAAGCTCTCGCGTAACCTCTCCCCTACGACGGTCCTCGGACACGCACCGCTGCCGCGTTTGCAATAAAGTACGCAGACAAGCCCTCTCGATCTTTCTTTCGATCTGCCATATAAACAACCTGATTTATCTGCATCCCAAAATAAAACCTTCCAGACATGAAGCTTACCAATATGAAATAAGAAATTCAAATCAACCCAATATGAAATAAGGAATTTCTTTGTTCCTAAACCGCTAGCAAAGTGAACCAGACATCTTTTCGAAACCCGCGCAAAGCACGGCGAGCGCTCGTAGAAGCAATTTGGTCGTCTCCGGAGGTGTCGTCGTTTGACGGACCAGCTTCAGCACCGAATGTAATGCACCACTCTGAAATCACCAATATTTTTCGCATCCGCAATCGACATGCTAGCATCAGTGAGGAAGAGCCGGAAGTTTGACAAACGTTAGAAGGTATGAATAGTTTCAGCAATAAGTGATAACAATGCTATATAATACTATATTAGCTAATAATAATAAATAGTAATAATAGTCAAATAATAATAACTTTAATAATTAATCAATAATTAATTTAATAATAATAATAATAATAATAATAATAATAATAATAATAATAATAATGTGTCAACCTTGAAAAATCCATCCCTGACCCGCCACATGTTCTTTCGTACATATCGATGTTTTGGCACCGTGATCTTCTACTAATTGCTTTTTCTCCGTACGACCTCTGGGCACGGCCTTGCGCTCATAAACCCATAGCCTTGGTTGGTGAAAGAGACGAAGAGAGGCTGCCGCATAGGCAGCGTTTAGACTTTGCGACGGCAGCGCTCCCTTCGCGCATTCGACGCGATCGATGCGCATCCTTTCGACTGCATCGATCCCGTCCAGCGCGCGATCGAAGTGGGCCGTCGCGAAGTCTGAACGCTGCCATAGCCCGCACGACTGCGTTAGCATCGAAAGGAGTTTTGATAACGGTGTTGCTAGTCTTGAATGAACGTTGATCCCAGAAATCAGTCTAGCGTTTTTTTTTATTGGTCACTCTTCTTTGTCCTATGATGGCTCATATTAGAATGGTATGTCCGCCAGCGATTTCTGACGGTGCTGCGAAAAAGAATTCTTCACGCCGTTATCCCCATCTCGGCGCACGTGCGAAAACTCGGCTCTCCTCCCTACGCTGCTGTTCACTCGGCACATATGCGATGCTCGCGAAACTTTTTTTAGCCAAATGTAACACTGACTCTGGCTCTCCCGTGTAAATCATGTTATAGTTCAATGCCCCTTGCAGTTCTTTGAGGGATATCCCACCACATTATCAGATACCTTGGTGTCGTTTTTTGTAGTGCTCTTATCAGGATGAGGGCGGGCGCAGAGAGGCAGAGACAGGTAGAAACCGCTTTATCACTCCGGTTGGGAACTTGCTGTTCTTCTCCCGCTTGTGCCGATCACTCAAGGTCCATCCCTCTCTGGTCGACGATTAAGCCTGCTTGGAAAGGGACAACACTGAAGGCTGGCTACCGTTGGTCATCGTGAAGACTAAAAAGGATGCTAGTCGCCATTAGTGGGTGTTCGATGCAGACAGGGGGGCGGCGGATGGTGTAGGCGTGGCTGGGTTTGGCCGTCAGCGCCGCTTTCTCCAATTCCTGCGCAGCTTGCCCGCTGGGGAAAAACGACGAAACGAGAGAGCGTCGAGCATTTGTCTCAAATGGAAGTGCCCTCAAAATACGCATAAAAACCATGTTTGGATGAATTCCTAGTGAAACAGTCCCATGTCAGGGATATGAAGTGTACAATTACTTAGTGGTCGGTAATAATTATAGCCTGCACATAAATGAACCGAGAAAACCGAAACTCGAATCAATGGAAAGAAAACGACATCGAAAACATGAATCCGCACCTGGATGGCTTCGAGACAAAGATCGCTTCTCCAAACAGCATAAGTGAATAAGGATCGCTTCGGAGGGGCAATCAGGACCAGACGATCCTTGTTACCGCATTCGGTCAGGTATCTTGCAATTATCTGAAATCTCAACACTTAGGTAGACTATCTACCTCTCACGCTATAATTATCGTAGAATATACTTGAAAGCAAGGACCACCATAGCGCTAGAAACATGGGCGGGGACAGCGAGCCCTAAGTCGTGCGTTCGCCATTGGTGCGCATCTCCATCTTTTCATCTCACCGAAAGGGCACCAATGAGGAGACCCAGCAACAGGCCACCTTTTAATACGATCAGTGTGGACCTTGGCAAGTAAAATATGGAAAAAAGAAGAACTAATGCCCGAAAAATGGAATAAGTATACTCGAAATCCCTGAGATCGGGTAGGCGTGGCTGCGTACTTGATTTTAAAATGGCGGCGGCCCAGGTTTTCGTGAGATATTGTCATTTTGGAGCAGTCGTAATCATGTCTACATCTAACACAGAACAAGATAGCAGTTGTTTCAAATTGAAGTATCCCACGAGAAACCCGTCCTATGCCATGCTCAAAGGCCACGCCCACTCCGTCCCAGGGATAAGTGTTGTGTAGGACCAGAGCTGTATTTGAGAAGTGAGCCACCAGAGAAGTTTTCGAGGGCTGATGAGAGCTTCTACGTTTTCAGAAACCAATGCGGCGATTTCGCTTCTATAGGCAAAGTCTGCAGTACTGTGGAATTTCTTCTGTGGAAATTGCGCGAGGTTGATATACCACTTTACTTCGGCTTATGCGCGTTTTGGCGAAACCGCCTTCATCAGAGCCTGAAAGGACTACTCGGCTTACGCACGTTTCGGCGAACCGCCTTCATCAGAGCCTGAAAGGACCGAAACGATTTGCGACTATCCGATCAAATGTCTCTGCAGCCTACTGAAGTTCGACCCTAAACAGGTGATCAACCCAATCACGGGGAAGAGTCCGCAGTGGTCGTACTGAAGGAGCAAGCCTACCCCGGCCCATTCCTCTTCAACACTCATTCTTTCTGTGTTCCTTTCCTTCCCGGGAGAGTAATGAGGAAAGGCGCGACAACGAGGAAGGTACAGTGGCGCGCCCCACTCCGCCCACCTCATCAGCAGGGATTGTGCCTCCAGGACAACTGGCTCACTTTTCTGCTATTGTGATTCCATATATACTTCTTATCCCTGAGACGGAGTGGGCGTGGCATTTGGACATGGCATAGGATGACTTACTCGTGGGATATTTCAATTTGAAACAACTGTCATCTTGTTCAGTATTGGACAAAGACATGATCACAAGTGGTCCACATGAAAAGAACCTCGTGAAAATTTTGTCCGTCGACACGTTCAACTCAAGTAGGCAGCCACGCCCACCGCATCTCGGGGATTTCGGGTGTATGGACTGAGGCAAAGGGATTGCGCCGTACCAGAGGACTTCACGATCTAACGTTCGCTCAGCAGAACATTCGGTTTTGGAAATCCATTGAGCTCGGTGGATACTCACCCCATGTTTCCTATTACAGTACCAACAACTCACCTTACAAAATACTTGTAGTACTTGTTCAATCATCTTCCGAACTACAATTGTGAAGTAATTTGTGATCGTGAGAGGCATACCGCTTTCGCTGGCTTCACGTTGCAAATCATTCACTTGTAGTTTCACGACATTCGTATCCTATAAAGTTGTACAATTACATAACACTATTACTTAACTATTTAGCTTGCAAAACTTTTATAAGCGCTCATAAGATTGGCGGGGGGGACTTCAAAGCGCTGCTTCAAGAAGTGGGATTACCAGCATTCGAATTGCCGTAGTTTGGAATGGTTCACCTACTCCGAGGATCGTCAGGCTTGGGCAGAAGTCTTGAGTGAGGAAATGCCAGATTGCAAAAGGGTTGCTTCGAATGCCCCCTGAGATATTATAGCGTCCTTTTATTAGGTAAACTTACGTATTTCGGAAGATGCTGTGCACAAGGGCTAGCCTCGATGATCTGTATAAAGACAGTTGTTTTACTGAGAAGTTCTCTTGCGGTAGAAGGATCCGACGGTCCAGCAAGCTGGGCGAATATTGACGATGCCGTTCGAAGCACATGGTCCATAGTACCTAAACGAATTCGCTCAGCTTGTTCCTGCAAGTCATTGCGCAGCAGATGTGAGAAATGGATTCCCGGCTATTAAACCCATATGGTTCGAATGTGAGTCGAACCATAAACGCATTACTGCGCGAGCATCTCTGCCCTGTCTATTATTCGATGGATAATAGTAGCCTTAATATTGGAACGGGTCAAACTTGGGCGACCCAAGCTCATTTTGGTAGGTTAATAAACCAAAAGCCCAAAAGTTGAGGGGAACAGCGAACGCGCGGCTCGAGTAGCGTTTACCCAGCGTTTTCTTCAAGCTGGGGAATCTCCGAAAGGCTAGGCAAAAAAATTGAGTGGACCCTACGATTCCCATTTGGGCGGCGAGCGTTTACTCCAGCTTTTTCTCAAAACTGGGGAATCTTCGAAAGGAATTGGACAACAATCGACTGGATCCTCCGCTTCCCATTTGAGCGCCTTCACGGACGTGGTTCAGGTCCTTCTAGTGGACTTTGCAATGCTACGAGCCTCCGGTTCTCCGAATATTCAGATCGATACGCATACTTCCTTTAGGGAAATTCTGCAGTCCCTATTTTTTCGGATTAATTCAAATGTAACGTGCACAAATCTGGTCTTAATCAGCACAAATATAAAACATTGTTTTCTTCTGGATAAAGAGAGTGCTTTCCAGGTACCGATGGGGAGGGATCACTCAATAGTCACAGTGATTCCACATCTCTGGCTTTCTTTCTCACAAGGTTTCTAATTTTTACTGAAAACGATCCGCTAAATTGTCTAACTTTGGATCCCACTGGAAAGCATTTTCATTATATTCCACATCTGTAATGAGGGAGGAGCCCAGACTTCTCTTGTGCTTTTATATGGTGCCACGTTTATGCTGGAAGGGCGCGGTGGTCAACAGGGCGCTCTTCGCCTTATGACGGACCGTTCACTCTTACGTGGAGCAAATCGTATACGGGCGTCTGAACTTCCTTGCAAAAAGCGGAAGTGGCTATACTAAATAGTGCGATAGTGGAGCAAAAATGGGGAAAAACGGTGACGAATGTCCAAATTAAGGGCTCTTATTGACCGATCTCATCGGGAAGCGGACGACGTACGCCAGAGATAGTTAACCCCGCTTGCAATGTCTCATCGTGAAAAAAACCACGTGTCAAGCGGCCAGCAAAATTCAAGACCGTATCGAAAAGAATACCGAACAAAGCAAGTAATTATCGAGTGTGATCTTTCTACTAGTGAAAGGAGACAGTAGTAGACAGGATTCGGCACTATTTACCCTTTACTGCCCCAACCCAGTTTCTGACCGACTTTTTTCTCCGTGGACAGATTTGGCTCAAATGTTGTCTCCTGGGGTATTTTGACCTCCTGAATACGAATATGACATTCGCTTAGCCCGAAACCTCTTGGCGCCCGCGCCACACGCGCCGGTGATCTGGGGTATTTTGGCGCCAGCACCTGTAGCGCGGGCGGCAGGAGGTTTCAGGCCGAGCGGATGTGATATTCGTGTTCAGGAGGTCAGACTACCCCTGAGAACAAGTTTTCAGCGAATTTGGTAATTTAGGTATTTTGGCGCCGGCGCCTGTGGCGCGGGCGCCAGGAGGTTTCGTGCCTAGCGGATGTGATATTCATGTTCAGGAGGTCAAACTACCCCAGGGGTACAAATTTTCAGCCAATTCTGCCAAGGCAGAAAAAAGTCGGTCAAAAACTGGCCTGTTTTCGGAAGACTGGGGCAGTAAAGGGTAAATAGTGCCCAGGATTCTACTACCTCCTCTCATGGAAGCGAAACGAGACAGCAGAATTGTCTTTTGCTTCCATGAGAGGCGGCAAATACTCGCGAGAATCACATTTAAAAAATGTTCAAAAATTACACACCAATAATAAAAATTATGCATCAAAAATTGGATACTCTTATACTTCAAAG